CTTGCCCCCAAGTAACCTGCACCTGGGATCTGCCTCTCCAGCCCCTCGTGTACATTCATTCCCAGGACAGAATGGAGATGCTGGGTGGCGGCCTACTCCTCCAACCCAAAGAGACCCCTACCTGCCTTGTCAAGGCTTAGCCAAGATCCAAGTCCAAGTGGAGAGGGGGCAAAGAGAGGATTCAAGAAAAAGCGAAGGAGGCAAACCAAGACTACTCAAGCTTTGTGTTGAGGGAGGATGGGGAAGGAGGAAAAAGACTAGGATGAAGAAGCAGGCATCCCCCAACATGCTCACCCACTATCCCCAGCCCACCCCAGCATTTCAACAGCCAGAACAAGCTCAGGGGCCCTGGTGCCTGGGGCTTGGGAGGCTGAAGACCCTCCGTGTCTACATCCGCTGAACCTAAGGGGAGATCCAGAGCAGGCCCCAGAACCAGGCTCCAATCCTGCAAGGCAATCTGGCCAGGGGTCCCTCTGGCCAAGACTCCTGGTTCTCCCATCCCCTGCCTCCTTTTGTTCCTGTGATCTGGCTCCATCCTCTCCTCTCGGCTGGACCCTGAACACAATAACCCCTGCCACCACCAGCACCCCCAAGCTCCAAAGCTCATTCCAGATCCCAGAAGCATGGTGGTCACTGTCAGAGTGATGGATCCCTTTCGAACCCCCCCACCCCAAAAGCAACTGCATCTGTTCCCCTTCCTTTTTAGGGACACACCTCATCTCAGAAGGCCAAAGTCAAGGATATCAGGTGGTCAACTCCTTCCCCAAAGGAAGCATCCCCATCTCCCCTCTCTGGGCCCCCCCACCTCAGGATCCCAGATGAATTACTTATCACCCCACCAGTTCTCATCTTCCCTAGGGCCCCAGAGAAGGGTGGGGTAAGGAAGCCAACTCCCCCAAGTTAACAACGCACTGGCAGTGCACAACCTCCATGAGATACAGACCCAAGATGAAAAATGGGGGCATCCACCCCAGACAAGAAGTGGGGGAGCTCCATTTCATCTCCTAGCTCTCTCCCT